ATAAAACAGAACCATCTTGATAGTATAGTAAGGACCACATTGCTTGGGGTAAGTGTTTTTAACTGCCAACAATTAAGCAATCTTCCCACCCCATATCCATGATTTCTGTAACCATCTTTATTTCCAGTGCTATGTAAAATGTTACAGCTCTAGTGAGAACAAAGAAATAAAATTTACCTTTCAAATTTCTAGGCAAAGAAAGGTTACCTTATAAAATGGCTAATCTGAAAAAAGCCATCCTGGCTACAGTAACAGGACTTAGAAAGGTTTACCAAACAAATGCTTAGTTTATAAAATATTCTGAATGGTTAGGGGAAAAAAGATGAAGACTTACCACATCTAAAGGTGTTTCACTTGCAATCTGAAAAAAAGTTAACATGCACGCTTAATTTATAAAGTATTTATATGGCAGAGAAAAGTTAACTTACTTATACAAGATTTTATGAAATTATATTCTGAAACTGTGATTCCTTTACCTCCAAAACAAGTAAATCCTTCAAAGAATTATTATATAGTAAAAACAGTCCAAGATCTATATACATGGACCTAAGATTTTTAGTCTGAAGATACCATAATATCCACGGAAAAAATCCTGTTATTTCTGTACAATGTTCTAAATACAATCTTAAATGTCAACTTCCTCTATCTTTTATATTTCAATTTTAAAGTTAAATTTCTTAAAATGTATGAAGGGGCTTTAAAAATTTCATGACTAATGAAATTTATAAAGATAATAAAATTTCCATAAGACTTTTTGAAATTTCTTCATGAAAAGAAGAGTTTAACGTAATTAATAAATCAAGTGCAAGTAAAGGAACCTTTAACCTGAAGACTTTGTTATACACCATAGTATCTATTAATTTGTACCTTACTTTCTCCTTCAGATGTGGAAACGTGGGGGCAATTTGCATAAACTCAAGAATGACATTACAGTTAAAATAAAGATGTCTTTTGCAGAAGTGGCGTCTCTCTCATCAGGAGAGATTGTGAAATTAACCGAACCTTTCAGAATACCCTTCCTCCCACAAAGACATTTATTTCTCACATAAGGCACTGTCCCATGTTTAAAGTGGCTTTGGAAAATAGTTATCTGAGGAGGCATGAGAAGCAAATGTTAGAGACATGGGGTAATACACAGGGAGAATGTAAGCAGCCCTCTTTAAACATTGAATGTCCTCCTTTTTGAAGGGAAAAGAAAATGAGATAGGACTTATTATTGGGACAAGTATGAATTTAAAAGGCGAAGGCATTTCCTTTTTAAATGTTCTCTTACGACACTGTTGTTCTGTAAAACCTACATTAGTACCTGTTTTTGCTAATCATAAGACAACTGAAGAGGATTTTCACTCTCATGGAAAACATTAAGACATGAACCTAGCACTCAGCAAGTTCTTTACAGTGGTAGTATGCACCCAAATCAATCAGAGTGCCCAGGGGCAAACTCCTTCCCAGGAAGAAATACACTTGGCACCAAGCTATTGTAGCTTTGAGTTGTCTGTGAGCACTATATTTTATTGATAGTTTTTGATGACAGTTAACAAAAGGGGGACGGGGGGAGATGAGGAGTGAAGACCTAAAGCCCATCTGTAGACAATTGGACATCCCCTTACAGAAGGGTCACAAGGAAGAGATGAGCCAGTCAGGGTGCAGTATAGCATCGATGAAAAACACTTTCCTCTAGTTCAGCGGTTCTCACCCTGTGGGTTGCGACCCCTTTGGGGGTCAAACGACCCTTTTATAGGGGTTGCCGATTCATAACAGTAGAAAAATTACAGTTATGAAGTAGCAGTGAAAATAATTTTATGGTTGGGGGTCACCACAACATGAGGAATTGTATTAAAGGGTCGCAGCATTAGGAAGG